AATAAGAAACATTTTTAACATAAGAAAAACGTATGTTTTATCTATGCTCTTACAATTATAATGTTGAAAATGTATCTTTATTATTATTGTATTACATTACAAGTATTATAATGAGAAAAATAAAACTTCTATACATTTGAGTGTTTGTTTTTTAATAACGTATTAAAAATTGAATTTAATTTAAATTAAATTTTGTACATAGACTATATTCTAAATTAAGATATGGATAGTTATTTACCGCGACTTAGTCCACGTGAATTAGTTTGGATATATACCAAATTTCATTCAATTTTGTTAAGCCGTTTAAGCGTCATTGAATAACAAATATATAAACATTTTAATAAACTTTCATATTTATTATATTAGTTATTTAATACTAAAAATAAATAATAAAACCATGAGCAAAGCCGCGGAATATAGACAGTAATATTATAAATGCGAATAAGTGAAGACATTGAAGGTTAACTAGTCAACCATACATAAATAACTGATTTGAATGACATTTGGTAAACAAATAGACATCACATACGCTGGTGAAGCCAGCTATTATAGTTAGTATATAAAGGTAAACATATAATCAATTATTTGTTATATTGTAATACTATTTTATTGGACGAGGGAATTATTCAGGTAGGTGAATAATCCGCTTAGGGATAATTACTTACTTTCCTTTTGTTTCCATGACTGGGGTTCATTTCGCGATATTAACTTATAAACCTTCATTTTGTGGAATGCAGACGTTTCTCTTGCTTGTTTATAGGTTTATATTGCTTCTAATAATTTAATTTAATTCTAAACTGACGCCACCTTCTAATCCTTTTCGTCTTTCTCTCCGGCATTTGTGTTTAATGTTTTTTAATTATAATTGTATATTTCCTTTGAACCTTTTGCAGGTTTCATTTTCTCCCACGAACATTGTTTGAATTAGATTTATTTATTTCTTTTTAAGAGAACGTATAGCTTGATTCAATCATAGTCAAATTACATTTATGTTAAGCCATAAATAGTTTTCATAATTTGCGTAATTACACAATCAGTTTACACACACACATATATATATATATATATATATATATATATATATATATATATATATATATATATATATATATATGTGTGTGTGTAAACTGATTGTTTGATATATATATATATACGAGAATATGTAAAAAAGAAACAATAATTACAAGGTATAAACTTTGTTGAGACAGTTTTTAACTTAATGTGTAATAATAAAATATAATAATTATTTACAATTTAATTAGGATTTAAAAACAATGATTATTATAGTTAGACCAATGTCTTTACTATTGGGGTGAAAAAGATTATTAGTATTAGTAATGGAGTCTAACGGCCCCATTATTAGCAATACTAATCTGCCAGAGTGACCTCTACACGGTTCTACCGTTTTGAAACTATAAATTCTTGATGAATTCATGATGGGTCAAGTGACCTATTATTAACTTCATCTATCATCTCTCACTGGTGCTCCGGTAATGCAGACGGTGTTACCATTCCACTATCATACAATAAAAAAATGTTGCCATTTAATACAAAAAAAAAATATAATTTCTACATAATACAACATAAAATAACTAGTCTTATTCAAACTAAGATATCTTACAAGATCAATTTAGAAAGGTCTATTTTTAAAATTGGTCCGTTTGTGAATCGATTTCTAGACTTATTTTGCGTGAAGCAACATGCTTACCCTTGTGCCGAGGAGACTGTTAATCAATTTACGAAATAACTTTTTAAAAGCATTCATGAATTATTTTGATACAGTAATGATGAAGAATATTAGATAAGGTCAAATTCAGCCTGATTAACTGATAATAAATATATTATAATTTTTTCACGAATTGAGAATCTCCTTCTTTTGTTATAAACGACTTAAAAAACAAGGAAATCTCAATTTATTTGTTAATATTTTGTAGAATAGAATAGATATAATCTTTATTCTAATAGACTAGACTACAAGCAGTTTGTAATAATATTTTTTTGAGATTCTACTGCTAGGTACGGAATATTACTATCTGCTAAGAAAAACTCGCAAGAAACTCAACAATTACTCTTTTCAGTTCGTTTATGTACAATATAATTTTACATTTGTATGGGTTTTTTCCAGCCATTAACTGTCCACTGTTTAACAGTCTTACCCATAACGGGAGTTTTGCCAGTAATTGACACATTTGGCAGGCAGGTTGGCAACCGTAGTTAGGTTTTTAGAGCAGTTTTAAGAGGGACGTTGCTGCCCATCCCTCGCCTTTCCTTAGTCTCTTGACTCTTACGACACCCATGAGAAAGGAAGGGGCGGCCTATTTTATGCCGGGGTCACACATGGCTAATTTGTACGGGTACTGTGTTTATAATTAGCATTGAGTTCTATTTATATGTACTATTTAATGCGAAGTAAGCACGCAAATAAGAGCAGTCCCCATAAGTAGCATCCGTTCACGAGTATGACAGACGAAATTTTGGATTATATAATAAACTATATGTCATGGTAGTAAAATTACACAGTCATGAACATGTAAATTCTTATACTATTATTAATGTTATATATGTGAATATAAGTTTTTTGTGGTCACCTCTCAGTAAATAAAAGACTTAATCAATTATTATGTTTATTCACATATGTTTTAATGTCAATTTACATATTTACTAATCACATACACGTTTTAAACATTATTAGCCAGTGAACATTTCCCGCTTGTAAGGACAAAGTCGTCAGTTATTATAAATTGACTTCTTTTTATATACAATAAAATAATGCTTCTCTCTTTAGAACTCTTGGCAAATTATGTATAAATGTTGAGTTGTAGACACGATTCTTGAAGAATGAGAAACAAAATATGAATGACTGATGTTGCAAAGGAGCATAATTATTTTAGACGATATAATGTAGCTATTTACGAGCGAGCTATTTACTTACATGTGTAAAATATGTTTTCAGTAATCATTATCTTAGCTATTATCCGTCCATAGCTAAACATAGGCCTCTACCATAGACTGGCATAAAGAACGATCTTAGGCCACTTGCATGCACTGACTCCCTGCAATGCATTTGAAGTCGATATTCTATATAGTAAGGGGTCGTCCTTCACTGCTTTCGTACGGAGTTGCCATTCAAGAACCTTGTTTTCTCATCGGTTGTCGGTTCGTTGAGCTATGTGACCAGCCCATTGCCACTTCAGCTTGCTTATCCTTTTTGTTTGCATATACTTAAAGATTCTGTAATAATACTTATTACAGAATTTTTAGTAAGAAGTCTGAGCGTATATTTCATAACGTATTTTCGCAAATGTTTAACTTAGATAACTAAAATTTTAAAGAAGGGTTAAGAATAAAAGAAAAGACATTATATATTAATTTTAGCATTCGTTTACTTTATTTCACGTACAGGGGAACATTTGTATTATATCTATTTACGGTCTATGTTTGAATAATTTATATGAAAGAAAATTATAAACAAAGCTGTTGGATAAACAGTAGTGTTGGTACTTAAATTATGAAAATGTAAAATTAAATAGAAATTGAATTCAATAGAAATTAACGATGAAGCATATTATGTTTGCTCTCGGTTAAAAGTTGGCGGTGTTATTGGGGAAACTTTTCAATTTACCTACCAACTTAACTTCGTTCTGAAGTCTAAAGAGAAGCCAATGAAAAGGGTAGGTACCTAAGTCTTAATTATACTGATAAGAACGATCTCGGCTCGCTCTATATAGGGTTGACATTTAGTTTTATTTCTTAGTTATGGTAAATATATGAAATATCTGTATACAAAATTGACTATCGTATAATTTTATTAAATAACGAAGTGCAATCACATGCAATATTGTTTTCAACGAATATTTTTGATTTATAATATTATTATGCACCACAATATGGATATCTAGAAATATATTAGGATCGTAAATAAAAACAAAGTTCACAATGCAATTTTTCGTTTTTATTTCCATTTATTTAAATACCTGTGAAGACTATATACGATACAGAGCAGCCCTATTATGGACTTTTTCAATTTGACTAGGGTACCTAAAGTTGAACAGACAGGCTTTTAACCTTGTTGAGTTCTCTTTCGGAACCATTGATCTTCTTTATATCTAATATTTTAATCATTTCGCCCATTTGTTATTAATGACAGTGGTATTTCTATTTATACATTAGTCTCTTTCAGTGTGTGTTTGTAATGCAAAATACCATCATGTAATCGAAGGTGTGATTGTGTTTTTTTTTAAATATTATTTGTATTATAGGAAACTTACCTACAACTATACTAACAGTATGATATTTATTCAAATAAAGTGGTTTTCAACTTTTTAACATGAATTATTTCATGAGCAATTAACTTTTGAGCGCGGTACAGCTTAAGGCCCTAAAAATTAATAAAATTGATAATGTGGATATAAAAGAACGTGTAAAAGTAAACGTTCTATTTCATTACTTTTTGTTTGTTTATGAAATTATAATTGCATTAGAGAAATAATTCACTAATAGAAAGTGCTAACTATGGCACGAAGGACGTGTCCTTGGACATTACAAATTACTCCGTAACGCCCACAGTGCCCTTCATGAGTTGGCATATTTGAGTATGGCTTCATGGTTTCTTGTATCGGATATCAAATTAACTTTTTTATTATTTAGATTTAAACACGGATATATTACTATTTGACTGTACTCGTATAAATAGTTAGAAAAGTACTTACATAACTTACCTAATTAACTCATATATTATTAAAAATAATTCTCCATTCTTTATGTTCTTTTTGAAAGGTAAAAAGTAGAAAAAATTAAAAAAAAAAACATATATTCCTTTTTTATTGTATACTTCTTTGTATTTGTACCACAAAAGATTTATTATGAAGTAGTTTTGTACTTAATGTATGAAAAATAACTTTGTGTAATTCAATCATCTTTGTTATCGCGATAATTTTTAACCAATAACAAATTCTATATAAAAAAATTCTATATAAACCATCTATAATATATCTTTTTTCCCCGCGGGTAGTTGTACAAGACAGACGTATAAATAAGTTGCCTACTTTATAAATACATTTTAATTGTTTTTATTATTTATTTTAATCTAAATTTATGTACCAACTTTAATTACTGCTGTTATCTGCCAGTGGTTACGTTATCTCCTCTCTAGTTTTCCTTAATAAAGAAATGGAGTCAATTCAAGAATCTCTAGAACAAATGAAGGAACATTTCTCAAGTAAGATGGCGGCATTTCAGGAGGATCTTCACAAGGCTAGTACTGCACCGATTACCCTTGCTTCATTAGCAACGGACTTCAGCGATTTCAAGTCCTCCATCTTAGCTACATTGAAGATTCTACAACAACAGGTTGAGGTTATCGCCAAGCAGCAAGACCAGCTTGAAATGCGCAACCGTCGCAAAATCCTTCTTGTGCATGGTGTTCAGGACAGCGGCAAAGACACATCTTCAGAGGTGATAAAAATTATTACTGAGCGACTCAATCTACCCATCACTGAAGATTCCATCAGTCGCAGCCACAGGATGGGACGTAAGTCTGGTGAGAAGCCTAGGCCAATTTTGGTGAAGTTTCGCAATCTTGAAATTAAGGACAAAGTTTGGTTCTCAAAAACTGGGCTCAAGAATAGTGGCATCACTTTCTCTGAATTTCTTACCAAGGGCAGACACGTCGCTTTTATGGCGGCTCGGAAGCATTTTGGTATATCCAAGTGCTGGACTCGTGATGGATCGGTGATTGTCGATGGACCAGACGGTAAGAGACGACGTTTAAATTCAATTACTGAGTTGAATCGTCTAATCGATTCATTGCCGGGTACAGGTACTGGTGAGGTCAAATTGCCAGCAAGTGTTTCGGCCGCTTCGAAGACAATGGATAGGCGGGATCAGGCTGGATTGAGTCGCACTAAGCGAGTTACCAAAAGAATTTAGAATTGTATAAGTTAATATTTTAATTAATTTAGTTTTTTTTTTTTTTTTGTAAGTGGGTGTTTGGTTATTTTCGCTCTGCTGGTAGATGGTTATTTATTTCATGACTTTATTTATGGCTGGCCCTATTTATTTATACTATAATTTCATATGTCCATATTTTACATTATTCTGTGCTTAATAGTGATAATCTTGTTGTTTTTTTTATTATTTACTAAGTGCTAAGCAATGTAACATCAAATCTGTCAATTTTCACTAACTACTAATCTGGCTCATTCTCATTGTATCTTTATACTTCTATTAAATCCTTTTCATTCACATTTTTGTATTATAACACAACAAAACACTTGTAATATTTTACAAATTTGTTGCATCAAATGCCGCTAGAAGTTTACTTGTATTTATTTAGCTCCGTATTTTCAACTGTCAGATGTAATGAATATTTAATGAAACTGGGTATAGATAGAATAACAGATCGAATTATTAGAAATAAGCAGGTAGATTTTGGGTGTGTATTATTGCCAGTACTGATTAATTGTTTTGTGTAGTTATTTTTTTTTATGTATTCCGTTACATGCAATAATTAGTTTTTATCTAATTTATAGAAGTTTATAGAATGGGTTTAACAGCCAAAATATAGAATGATATCTAATATACTATTAATATTACTACAAATAACTGCATGCGGGGTGTACGTATCCGGGCCCACTTATATTTAATTTATTCCTGTGTACTCCATTTTAACTGAACAATTATGTATTTTTTTTTTCTTTCCTTTTTTTTTCTTCTTTCTGTTGTGATAATGTGTTTTCAATATTTGCTTTATTTATGAATATTTGTTGTTTATTGTATACCAATTCTGACAAACCACTGGCGGGTAGATGTTTTAACGTTATATATTTTATACGATTTTTATTATTATATAAATAATATATTTGTTTATTAATTATATATCACACACATTTTATGGACAATGATATAAATGATATTTCTATATCAGTTTCCTCCTCTTCCTCTTCTAGTGATGACAGTTTTCATAGCATTAACATTCCTCTAGACGAAACTTTGCATACTACATTTTCGGATGTAGTAAAAAATTTCAATGCAGTACATATTAATGCTCAAAGTATTCCTGCCCATTTTTCTGACATGTTAGACTCATTTACTGATAACAATATTCATGCTATATTTGTGTCGGAGTCTTGGCTGAAACCTTGTCTTCCTTCTATCGCTTACTCCCTTCCTGGTTTCCATCTTATTCGCTGTGATCGCACCGGTAGAGGTGGTGGTGGTGTTGCCATATATCTTCGTACTCATATACCATTTAATATCGTTTGTTCCTCTAACTCCTCTAATGAAGCGGAATTCCTTTTTCTTGAAATCACCTTATCCCACTCCAAAGTCCTTCTAGGTGTTTTCTATAGCCCTTCCTCTTCTGTAGATTACTTTTCCTCTTTTGAATATCTCCTCGAAAACCTTACCCCATCTTTCAATCACACGATCATCATGGGTGATTTTAACACCTGTCTGTTGAAAAATGATAGCCGAGCTTACCGTCTTAAGTCTGTTGCCAGTGCTTGTAATTTAAATATTTTGCCTCTCCAAGCAACCCATTTTTTTCCGAATTGCAATCCTTCCTTACTTGACCTAATCCTTGTATCATCTCCCGAACATGTTTCCAAGTTTGGTCAGCACACCGCTGATGCTTTTTCCTTTCATAATCTCTTATACCTTTCCTATAAAATCCGTCCTCCTAAATTAAAGCGTAGAATCCTCATGCAGCGCAATTTTGGGGCCATTGACATGGACCGTTTGCGAAAAGATGCATCGGAGTGTGACTGGTCATCTATTGCAAATATAGGTTGTGTAAACATACAGATACAAGAATTTAATCAACTCGTTCTTGACCTTTATGATCGGCATGCCCCAATCCGTTCCGTCAGAGTCCGACATCTGCCTGCGCCCTGGCTCACTGAGGATATTAGAGCTATCATAAACAAGAAAAATAATGCTAAAACTAAATTTAAAAAAGACCCAGACAGATATCGTGACAACTACGTGCGCATCAGAAATCTCTGCAATAAGATGTGTAGGGAGGCCCAACGTCGCCACATCCATAAATCTGTTGAGAATGGAGATCCAGCAAAAGTCTGGAAATTTCTTAAATCTTTAGGAGTTGGAAAAAAACACAATGAGAGTTCCACTAGTATTGATATTGAGAATCTTAATAGACATTTTTGTTCCTCTTCTATTGTTGTTCCTAATGACAAATTAAAAACACTGTATTATCTTTCTTCGCTTCCAACTCCTGATTACACTCCTTTTGTTTTCGGACAATTGTCCGATTGTGATGTTGAGAGAAGCTTACTGTCAATATCTTCTAATGCTCTGGGTACTGACAACATCAGTCGTGCTATGATCATGCCTATCCTTGATATCCTGCTGCCAACTATTACTTTTCTCTTTAATAATTCATTATCCTCAGGTATTTTTCCTCATATCTGGAAAGAAGCCTTTATTATCCCCCTACCTAAAAAAAATATCCCCACAGTTTTTTCGGATTATCGACCTATATCCATTCTTCCCTTCCTTTCCAAAGCTCTGGAAAAGTTAGTACATCAGCAACTCAACTTGTTTCTGTCCAAAAATAACCTTCTTAATCCTTTGCAATCTGGTTTCCGCGCAGGTCACAGCACGACTACTGCTCTTGTAAAGATCTCTGATGATATCCGTTTCGGAATGGATAGCTCAGAGCTGACAGTTTTAACATTATTAGATTTCAGTAATGCTTTTAATACCGTCGATTTCGACATTTTGTTGCAACTGATGACTTCTCTCAACATATCTCCAACGGCAATTGAATGGTTTCGTAGTTACCTGGTTGGACGTCGGCAGCGTATTCGTATCAACGACTCTTTGTCATCTTGGTGCAGTACATCTGCGGGCGTGCCCCAGGGTGGCGTCTTATCTCCTCTTTTATTTGCCTTATTTATCAACAATATCACGTCTCAGCTTCGGTCTTCCTACCATCTTTATGCAGACGACCTTCAAATTTACTGCCGGGCTCCTCTTATTAATATTTCTGTTGCAGTAAATACAATAAACGAAGACCTTGAACGTATATCTGTCTGGAGCAAATCCTATGGTCTTGCTGTAAATCCGACCAAGACCCAGGTTATAATCATAGGTAGCCCTAGTTACATTTCCAGAATGGCTTTGAATGACCTTCCTTCTGTAGTTTTTAATGGAATGAAGTTAAACTACAGCGACCGCGTTAAAAATCTCGGCATTTGTTTTGATAGTACTTTATCCTGGTCACCTCAGATTGCTGAGATTAGCAGGAAGATGTTTGCGGCAACTGGATCCCTTTACAGGTTGCGTAAGGTTCTTCCTATGGATACCAAAATTGCGCTTGCTCATACATTGCTCCTCCCCATCCTTGACTACGCCGATTCCTGTTATTCAAATGTCACTGAAGAGCAGTTAAATAAACTTGAGCGTCTTCAAAATTTATGTATACGGTTCATATTTGGACTTCGCAAATATGACCATGTATCCCAATGTCGTACACGACTCAAGTGGCTCTCTATCCGTCTTCGTCGTAACTGGCACATCCTTTCCCTTCTTTACTCAATTCTCTTTAATCCAGTTACACCTCATTATTTAAAAGAACGTTTTATGTTTCTTGGAGAGAGCAATTCTAATTCTTATTCTTTACGTAGTACTGACAACCTCCAACTCATAATTCCTACCCATTCTTCCTCTTTCTACTCCAAATCCTTTTCCGTGCAAGCAGTTCGTTTGTGGAACTCACTCCCTACCTCTATACGGTGCGCTCAATCGTTGCCCATTTTTAAAAACTTAGTTAAAGCCCACTACCTATCCTTATAATCACTTAGTCCTACGTATTTCCAGTTTTATGTGTGTTATATATATGTGTATTAATATGGTATATTTATGTGTATTTATGCGTATATATGTATATGTATGTATATATATTTATATGTGTATGTGTATGTATATATATGTATATGTTTGGTTGTATGTGTTTATTTATGTATGTATATGTATATGACTATGCTGTCACAAATATTATTTTTTACAAATCTATCTTTTTTAACGCGCCACCTACCTACTTATGCTTTAATCCTTTCTACCCAAAGGTTGTCTGGAAGAGATTGCTTAGCAATAAGACCGCCTTTTGTACTACACTATACTTATTGAAAATTGTTTTAACAAATCATGTTATGTTGGTGCAATAAAGTGTTAAATAAAATAAAATAAATAAATATAAATTGATTGTTTATATACTTTTATATATTTTTGTATATGTACTTTACAAAGAATTTAGTTAGGTTAACTTAATGATTTGTGCGGAGATAGAATTATTATTTTGTTTTAATTCCAAAGCTGATAGTAGATGACGCTCTGTTCTAAACAACAACACGCTACAATTTAATTCCCTGGAAATCAGGTTCTAGCATTGTAGATTTGAAATACTTAGTATTGTAATATTTTTTTTACATTATACTCAGTCTTTCGTATGCGGTGTTTCATTTCGGGGATTTTTGGGTTGTCTAATACTGCGGCGCGTACCCCATCAAAATCCATCTGAGAGATAATCCTCAGCGTAAATTTTATTCTAGTCATAAAAAAATCTCCTAAAGTTTCATATCACTATGTACACTTATTGCGTAAATGTACGACTCACAGATAAAAAAATTGATAAAATATTTTACAATGTTGATACTAATTGGAATTCTTTGTCTAAATCTCTGTAAACCTGTTAGATTTCGATGTAGACCGATGCTACTTATCGGCAAGACTAGTATGCTGGTTTCAAAGTGTAATTAGAAGCTAAGTTAGTGTACTGCTGCGCCGTGCTAGGTGTATGTGTTCGTTTAATTAAGTCTTTTGTGAAGTCTAGAATTAGACACAATAGGTATCTAATGTTAGTCACCTCAGAATTTTAGTGCTCCATCTAAAATCTTTTGCAGAGTTCCTTTGTAAGAAAATAAGTTTGTGGCTTACGGGAAATTACCCATAACTTTAGAAATATGACTTACAGAATAGGTAAGAATTATTAATTTCTATAAGAAACCGGACGGAATGAAATTATATTAAACTTTTGTAATAAAATAGACTCTGTTATGCTATTTTTTATCTTTTACAATAGTTATTTTTATAAATACTAATTATTAAGAGGTAAAATTTGTGAGTTTGTATATTCGGGGTAATCTCTGGTATTACTGATTCGATTTCAAAAGTTCTAAAGAAGCTAAAACATATATAAATGTAGACATTTTATTTTGGCAAATATATATTATTAATAATTAATCACAATAAATGTAACTGAAGTCAAATTCAATTATATAATGTGCGCCGCCTGGACAGTTTGAAATAAAGAAATGAAACCTATAGCAAATATATTTACTTTTAGCTTTACAAAAAAGTCTGTGATACCATATATCAAAATTTTATGGCTCAACCAAAAAGATAGTTTTTATGTTAAAAGTAAAATAAATTTTACTAGCCGTTCATTTTAAAATATCAGAGTATATTAGTGCAATACTTACTTTTTAGTATTTCACTTGAATTTTTCTAATTCCCCTTGCATATTTTTATATTTTTGGTACATTAGAGAGCTAAATAAAATACAATAAATAAATACTTTTACATACGTCAAAATACCAGCCTTATTTTAAGCTGATATAATATTATAATCATCATTATATCAGCTGGTAACTCTCCACTTTTAAATATAAGCCCTCCCTCCATAGACTGATATAAGGAACGGTCCTTACATCCACTAGCTCCCTGCAATGCATTTGATATCGTCGTTTCATGTAGTGGAGGGGTGGAGGTTACTGCATCTGCTTGAACAGGGCCGCCAATCAGGAACTTTTGTTCCTTATCGGTTGTCGGTTCTTCTAGCTATGTGATCAGCCCATTGCCATTTCAGCATTCTTTCATGCCTTGTTTTGTTACAATTAAGAAAATATCTAGGCAACCGTGCTTTAATTGAAATTTTGACATTTTTCTTGTTAAACAGTATTTTTTTTAAATTACATATATAAGTTTCTTTCTTTTGCACCATCAATGCACCATCAGGTAGAACTGTTATTTGATATATTATTTGACGTAAAAAACTGTCTAGAAGAAGAGGAAAAATTACATTTAACATTTTTTTATAGCATGCGGTTCATCTGATGGTAAGTGACTACCGCCACCTATGAGCATCCACAACACCAGAGGCATTGCAGATGAGCTGCCAGCCTTTTAAAGAGGAATATGCTCTTTTCTTGAAGGTAGCCTTCAATATCATATCGGTTCGGAAATATTGGTGTTGGAAATTTAAAATAGATTATTTATATAGTCGATTAGTTGTTATATTTCACGTGTGAAATTTTCAGATTATGAAAATTTATATTTAAATTCATAGTTACTTTATTAGACAATATTCTTTAAACCAAACATATAGAGGATCATTAAGAAATACATATTAATAACAACATGCCAGAAGAAAAATTGCATTACGGTTTTTTGGTGATATAATAGACACTTCCTTGACAATAAAATATAGTATTAATATTTTCAAAATATCTGTAGTGTCTGTATAATTCATATTAATGAGAAAAACCTGAAATAAAATCGCGCCAATATACCAAGCTCGTTGGACCAGCAGTAGGCCGTTAATGAGTTATTATGTTATTGTTTGGTACTTAATATTGTTTTAATACTTTGCAAATAATTTAATTAAGACAAAGTTTATTAACATAAAATATCAAGTTATCTTTTACTTTGTATATTTATAAGGATATCGACAAAATTGGAAAGCGAGTCTAATTTTGACAAGACTCTGTAATAATATTGATCAATGGATAAAAAGTTTCCGCTTAGAATAACTTTAGGGTAGTCATGTTTAATGCAAGGGAAAACATTAAGTCAGTCGCCCTATAGGAGAGTAAAAATTTTAATAATTATAATTTACTATATATTGAATAAAATATGACGTTGGAATTTAACATTTTTTTTAAAGTAATACATAATTAATACGAAAGTACAGCTTACTGATTATTATTTAATAAATATCTAATTATAGCAGTAATCATTAAGTAAGTAATTGTAGGAGACGAGTGGTTGTAGTCAAACACACATAAAAACTAGGGTCCTTCACAGTTAACTGCTATGTGTATATAATTCTTTATTCTTTTTCCTTTTATTCTATATGCTTTACTGTTCAGGCAGTTCGCCTATGGAACTCACTACCTGCCTCTATTCGGTGTGCTCAAATTCTTACTAGCTTTAAAACTTCTCTTAAACCCATTTCTCTTTTTAGTACTATTTTCTGGTGTTCTATCTTCCTTTTCCTCCGTCATTCTCGCCTGTTATATGTGTACTTTTATATACGTATATGTTTGTATATATATGTATATATATATTTTTTTTTGGAAAGTGACAATGAACGAAGAAAATATTAATAATATTATGTAATATTATTAATATTTATTATATATATTATTTAATATTTATTGATTAATTCTGGGTACCTAACCCATAAGGTTATGTAAGTCTATCTATACCTATATTATGTGCATTAATTAATTGTTACTGGATGGAGGGATTTAATATAGAATAGTAGAACCACTATTACGTAATCTGCGGCAATACCTAGCTCAGATCTATTGTTACTTTGTAATTACTGATTTGACTTCAATGTATTGTTCTGTTGTGCTCTGTATGTATGATTTGGATAAGACTTGATCGATGCTCTTTATCAGTAGATTTCAAAGAGAATTAGGATAAAAGTTCGATTGTACTTTTTTCTTGTAAATTGTCTATTGATCTTTAAAGAAAGTTTCAATAATATACAATTTTAATAGTTCGCCTGGACTTTTTGTTCTTGGATAAATTTTACTTTCATATACAATTGAACAAATGCAATTTTAGAGGATTCATTATTGAATTGTTTCTCGTCATACTAAAAAACTTAAGCGGAAAACATAAAAGAGATATTGTGATCTCGAACAATATCTATTTCTGTGTAAATATTATTATTAGAATTTTAAATCTGTATTGTCATGTACTAATTTTCAAGATAGTTATTGATTTGTGTGAAACAAAAACGTACATCAATTAAAATATTAGATTGAGCGTGGTATATATATTATAATACCCTATAAGATACCTGGTATTACAATATGTCAACATAAGCTATAAATAAGTTTATCCTTATAATAAAATTCTTTATAAGAAATATGGTTACAAGAAATTTCTATTACTACGTACCAAATTACAATTTAATATAAATATATTTTTGAATATTACCATTTTTTTGATCACGTCTGTCAATTTATTAATAAACATAACCTAAATACA